ATTATGAAGTGCTTCTCTTCACCTGTAATAATATTCTTTGCTTCTGCTTCAAATATCCTTTTTCTGATTTGAATATCACTACACCACCTTTCTACATCAAGTGTTTTCAAGGGATATAATTTTATTTTACCTCTTACTTCCAACCTTCTTATGCCTTTATAATTATCAAAAATAGTAATTAATTATTTTAACTCAGTTTACCCATTTTATCTTTTAATAAGGCCAGCTACAGCATTTATATTTAGCAGACCTGTTTAGAATTAAATCTATCATCTTAGTACATTTAAATTTGTACTTAATAAGCTGTGTACTTTCCTCCCTCCTGATGTACCTTCTTTGAGACTAATTACTTTTTATCATTCCATTTTTCTCCTTCTATTAGTTTGGAAGATATACTCTACATAGTACATACTTTCAATGGTTTACACAAAGTTAAAACATGGTTTTATCACATAACAAGTTGTTTCAGTTATTAGCCTTTTCATCAATGTGAAGAAAACACCAGACAAGACCAAGTTAGAAAAGGAAGTTTATTTAGGACTCATGGTTTCAGAGGTCTCTGGTCCATAGATGGCCAACTCCACTGCTCTGAGCCCAAGATGAGGCAGCACATCACAGCAGAGGGGCCTAGAAGAGGAAAGTTGCCCAGCTCCTGGCGGATTCAGAAAGCAGAGAGGAGCGAGATGGGATGCAGGGCATGCCCCCAGTGAACCACCTCTTCCAGCCTCGCCACACCTGCCTACAGTCAATCCATTCAAACTAGGATAGACTGATTAGATTGCAGCTCTCACGCTCGAATCATTTTACCTCTGAATGTTCCTGCATTGACAGGAGCTTTTGGGGTACACCTCGTGTCTGAACCATAACACAATCCGAATGTTAATTAGCAGTTTTACCAATTCCCAGGCAATCCAAGTACTACAGAAAGACTTAAATTCATTTGTTCCTAACTTGAATCAAATATGCCATCACTGCCACCATAATTCCACATATACGTTAAACTCAAAAGTCTAACGCTGTTGTATAAAGTCAATATTCACTTAAATTTACCCATATGTTTACTGTTGTTTTCTCTTTCTTCCTACAACTCTGACCTTCCATAAGGGATATTCTCCTTCTACCCGAAGAACATTCTTTAATATCTCCTGATATATGCTTTGTGACAAATTCTGAAAATGTCTGTTTCATCTTTATTTTGGATATAGAATTCTGATTTGGCAGGGAGGAAAGGTCATTTTCTCTCCTTTTTGATATTATTCCATTGGGTTCAGGTTTCACTGTTTTGGCTGACAAGTCAGCTGTTCAGATTGTTTATAGATCATTTTTCTTTCATTGCTTTTCAGATTTTATCTTTGTCTTTAATTTTCAACACAAATAAACTTTTCTTTTTATTTATCTTGCTTAAGATGCTTGGCCTTCTTGTGTGGTGGGTTAGTCAGCTTTTCATCGCTGTGACATACACCAAGAGAAAAACAACTTAAAGGAGAAGAGATTTATTTTGGCTCACGGTTTTAGCAATTTCAGTCCATGGCTGGCAAGCTTTGGTGCTCTGGACCTGAGGTGAGGCAGACCTTCATGGCAAAAGGGCCTGGCAGAGGAAAGCTGCTCAACTCAAAGTAGCCACAAAGCACAGAGAGAGCCAAGAAGGGGCCAGGGACGAGAGGTAGTCCCAAGGGCATGACTCCAGTGATGCTCCATCTGCCCACAGTTCTCACCACCTCCCAGTAGTCTGTTCAAATTGTTAATCCATAAAATGAATTAATTCACTAGACCAGAGAACTCTGAAACCAAGAGTCCTCGTGATCCAATCATATCCAGAAAGCCCTATCTCCGAACACTGCTGTATGGGGAACCACGCCTTCAAACACAAAACTTTGGGGAACATTCCACACCCAATCAAAACATTCACTTTTGGCAAAATTGGCCAATATCTCTTCAAATATCACTTGTGCCCATTCACATTCTTCTTTCTCCTTCAAGGATTCTAAAAATACTTATGTTACACCTTCTCATAGCATCCTCTTTCTCTTATGCTTTCATATACACTTTCTATGTTTTGTGCTTCATTCCAGACATTTTCTTCTTGTCGTAGCTTCCAGTTCATCATGATCTCAATCTTTAAGGCCTCATTTCACTTTTTGTATAGTTTTCAATTCTTTCTTGAAACCCTCAATTTTAGTAACACTATAAACTCTGAGCAGGATAATGCCAATATCTAGATTTGTCATAGGTCTGTTTCTATTTTCTATTGTTTCTACTGTTTGTCATTCTTGTTGTCTTGTGTCCTTGTGCATCTGGAGTTAGTTTCTGAGTGTGTACTATGCATTGTATTTGCACAATTATTTGAAGAATTACGTTGAAACCTAGAATGGTGTATTCTTCTTTGGAGAAAAATTTGAGTTTGTTTCTTCCAGGTTCCTGGAAGCCCCAGCACTTTAGAGATGCCCAGGGAGAACAGCACTCTAAGATCACCTTAAACTGATTTCAGTGATTTAAATGTCTGAAGCTGAATGGTATTTTCAAAAGGATCTATTCTGTATCTGGTCCATTCTGGGCCCATAACTAAACTACGGAAGGGTTCAGAGCCACCACGATACATCAAAAAATTTAAATACTTTTGAGTGGCCATTATCAATCAGGCACTGCTATATAAATAAAATTAAATCTTCACATTTAATGTTTACATTTATAGTAAATTAAAAAAAAAGAGGAGGGGGAAAAGTTAAATGCTGTTAGAGGAAGAATTTAGAGAAATGGGAGTCAAGTTTTGCATAGATGATAGGAAAACGGGCTAAATAACAAATTATGTGTGTGTGTGCGCGCACACACACATGGGGACAATGCTTGAGATCAAACTCGGGTATCACATGTGCTAGGCAAGCATTCATTCTACCACTGAGCTACATCCTCGATCTTCAATCCTAACTGATCATTTTATTTATATGATTCATATTTTTCAAAGCCATTTCATATACAATAACTCAATCTTTACAACAATACTGTAATGTAAGGATTAAATCCAAATTTTGCACACAATAAAACAGGCTCAAAAAGGTTAAATGACTTGTCTAAAACCAGTCAGCTAAAAAGAGGCAGAGCCAGAACTCCAAATTCCTTAATTTGTTCTGTAGGAAGTTAGAAGAAAACAGCAGCAAAAACATCCTTTAAAACCAACCCAATCCCAACACCATAATCATAAAACTCATAAAGCATTCACTTTCAATTGCCTGTACTAAATGCTCTTCCAAGTATGTTCTGTAGGTGGCTGGAGCTGGTTGGACAGCAAATGAAATGACAAAAACTTAAGTTTTAATTTGTAGTTCTTATATCATGTACTGCTCAAATCAGTTTATGATACACTTGAAAGAATTGTTTTAACAAAACACAATTTCACAAACTCCACAGAATAGATGTCCATTGTTATTAGCATTTGATAACAGTACATTACTTCTAGAAATTTTATCAATTTTAAGCATTCCAATCAATGAAGAAATTGACCAAGCTGCAATTCTAAATTTCTTAATATGTCCCCATGCCAAATTTGTAATCTTCAAATCCTTACCATCTAATCTATCTATACAGTCCTTTAACTTCTCTACAAATCAGTAAACAATGACACTAATATCCATCAAACCAAGCTAGATGAACAAGTTCAAACCTGGCCTAGAGTGACTAAATAGTCTCATAATCTCAAATACAGGAATTTCTTTAATGGGTTTCTAACAAAATAAACAACTTATGTATTGCTTTGAACCAAAGTGCCAGCCAACTATTAAAGATTCTCTTGAAAAGTATGAAATATTTTTATCAAGCATAGCCCTTTCCATTTTACATGAAGCATTTCTAAATTACTTTTTTAAAAAAATTTTTTAGTTGTCAATGGACTTTTTTTAAATTTATATGTGGTGCTGAGAATTGAACCCATTGCCTCACATATGCTAGGCAAGCACTCTACCACAGAGCCACAACCCTAGCCCCTCTTGGTAAGAGTCATCACCCAAATCACAACTCAATGTGTGCCATTCATGGAAGTGTACCTGAGTAAGCTGACAACAGCCTTGACGAGTAGTGACCCTATAGTAGCTAACATAGATCAACAGAATGGGGCTTGGGATTACTGCTTGCCTCAGTCATTTTGAGACTGACATTGACTCCCTCAGTCATTTTGAGACTGACATTCATGCCAGAAACTCAGAGATAATATTTGGACTTATAAATGCTTCTGGTTTTCCTTCCAATACTCAGTGTACTTCTTCCTACTGTACCTATTAAATTATGAGAAATAAATCAGCAAATATTATTAAACTTTTCCCCAAAATTACCAGTATCAGTAGATAGTAGGACTGTAAGTAATTTTTGTTTTCCTATTTTCCTTCTTTTCTCTTAATTTCCAAAAAAGATAAATATAATTTTGGGGGGCTGGAGTCATGGCTCAATAGTGGGGCGCTTGCTAGCATATGTGAGGCACTGAGTTCAATCTTCAGCACCACATAAAAATAAATAAATAAATAAAGGTATTGAGTCCACCTACAGCTAAAAAAAAAAAAAAGGTAAGCATAATTTTTTAAAGAATTTTCTTTTAAGACTACAAGAGCAAACTAGTGAACCTGGGATCAACTTTAATTTTTTTTTTTTTTAACTAGCCATACAATGAAGTCCAAAACAACTTCACTCAATTCAGTGAATGTTAATATGAACATGTAATAATTTTAATGATGACAATTATACAATGATCATGTGATACTCTTTTATATTTTCTTAAATAAATTATATACATATTAAATATAAATGTAAACAGGATAAAACTGATCCTTGAAATAACTATTAATATTCTTATACAATTTCACAATGAGTTTTTCTTTTAAAACATACCATCAGAATTAGAATAAAAAACTTAACTTGATACACAAATGCTTTCTTTAAGAAATAGTTAAATAAAAAAATAGTTTAATAAACAAAGCAAAGTCAAATTATCAAAATAAGAGAATCAATTGTTTTACCTCTTTTTGTTTTATATCCAACTGACTCCTGAGAGTCTTAAGTTCCTGTTCACGGATGTCCAAGCAAGTTTCTAGAGCATGTGTCTGCCCCTCCCATTCAGATTTTTTATGAGCCACCATTATGTCAATCTGTTTCATGAGCTCTTGTAGTTCTGCTTCACAGGATGTCAAGAATGCCCTTTAAATAAGAAAAAACATTAAGAACACAGACATATGTTCAAGTGGTTTTCCTTCTTTCCACGTATAAAAATACAACAGAGGGCTGGGGATGTGGCTCAAGCGGTAGCGCGCTCGCCTGGCATGCGTGCAGCCCGGGTTCGATCCTCAGCACCACATACAAACAAAGATGTTGTGTCCGCTGAAAACTAAAAAATAAATATTAAAATTCTCTCTCTCTCTCTCTCTCTTTTAAAAAAAAAATTACATATATATATATATATATATATATATATATATATATATATATACACACACATACATACACAGATTAAATCTACCTGAGGTAGAAGAATGTCACTCAGCAAAACTACCAGAAGAACAGGATTTCTGAGCTTTTGCTTTTAGTGTTCATTTTAGGATGGTTTATTCCATAAAACAGTTTGCCTTCCTCTAATAAGCAACCTAAAGCCTAAATCATTTGGCCAAACAAAAGATTGCTGTTTTAATTTAGGCTGTGAAATGAAACTTCCACAACTATTTTGTGATATTTTAGGGAAGCTTTCAGGAAGAACCCAGACTAGTCTATCCACATTCTCATCTAACCAAATAAAAAGCTTTTGAAGTAAGCAGGCTATTGTGCAGGAAAGTGATAATATGAGTTTAAGAGCTATTTCAAGAAATTCATCATTGAGCCAGATTTATTTCAACTATTTCTTCCCACCTTATTATTTAGAAACTTACTGAAACCTACCTTATTATTGTAAACTCATTGATATCCTTCCAAATTTCAAGAAATGACAGACATTGCAGAGGTGAAACAGAGGTAGTAGACATAAATATATTAGATTCAAAGATATTTCCAGGAAGGTTCACTGAGAGCTCTAACCACTAAGTGTTTGATGCTTTTTTAAAAAGCATATGATCTTAGGGTCCCAAAACCTCTGTACTTCCTACTTTTGCTGGAATGAAAGCAAGAGCCTAGCTTCACATGGCTGAGATGAGACAAACCTCCTAAAGAGATATCAGGCGAATACGACATGGATCAGCTTAGCTTGTGCCAAACACTTTTGCTTTTGTACCCAAGACACAGTACAGCTTAGTATGCTTTCTAAACTGTAGTGAGAAGCTCAAGGTCAAAAGCAAACTTACCCACCATGTCCCCGATTTTGTATTCCTTCCAACAAAGCCTCCATCGCTAAATCCCCTTTGTTCTGGCAACTGGAAAGGCAAAAAAAAAAAAAAGAAAGTGATGAAAAAATTCATCATTTTAAGTTCTAACATTCCAACTTCAACTTAAGAATGTGAATTGACAGCATGATGAGAAAATTCAGTACCTTTTAAAATGACTGTAGAAGCAAAGAACATCACGCTTTTATTTTTTAGGAATAAACACACTATTGATTAAAAAAAAAAAACTTATCCTAATTGCTGTTGATACTCTCCCTCATTGTTCTATGCCAGGTTCTAATCATAAGAGGAAAGTCTTTCCAGCAGGACACTGTCACAAACCACCTTATAAAATAAGTGGGGTCATATGCATCAGAGGAAAAGTATAGTTTTTCTTTAAAAAAAAAAAATCACTAAAAAGGTGAAACACACTGAGGTGAAACTCCCAGTCCACCTTTGAGAGCCTTACTCTGGAGAAGACAGGCCCAGAGCACCTCCCCTGAAAACAACCTCAGGGGCTCTCCTTCCTTTGCATTTCTTCTTGGCCTTACGAGTTTTTTCCCACAAGAGTTACAAATTATAGAAAAGCTGAAAATAAATGTTTTGCATGTCCTTTTTCCTTGCTAGACCATCCGTTAAGGGCAGAAAACTAGTTTTATTATGCAGCTCAAGTCCAGGGTAGCATTTCCACATAGTATATATGCTGGTATAAGGCTGATCTCCTTTCCCTTTTCCTACCTACCTCATGCAAACTAGAGGCCTTAGCTGGAGGACTACAGAAAAGGGAAGGGAGGCAGAAGAGATTGCTGTAAAAAGGGAAATCATAACATGAAAAAGATAGGTGAAGCCACATGGTGGTACACACCTGTAATCCCAGCAGCTCAGGAGGCTGAGGCAGAAGGATTGTGAGTTCAAAGCAAGCCTCAGCAATTCAGCAAGCCACTAAGCAATTCAGTGAGACCCTGCCTCTAAATAAAGTACAAAATAGGACTGGGGATGTGGCTCAGTGGTCGAGTGCCCCTGAGTTCAATGGCTGGTACCAAAAAAAAAAAGGAAAAAAGAAAAAGATAGTTAAGAGCAAAAAAGGAAGGATCCTTAAATTCAGAAGTGCTAATGTGCTGTACCTTTCTCATCTCTTATCACAAATCTTTAGAAGGGTCAAAGTCAAATCACTTTTTACTCCTTAGAAGCTATTTTCTTTCCTTAAGCCTTCAAAACCTCGACCCTAAATTATAGCCATTAGACAATGACCAAATGCTGTGATGTGGAAGTTCTGCCCTTTGTCCTAATGCCTCACCTAAAAATTATACTGCTTCAAGAAGTAGATTCCTTTATTCAACAAATAATTCAGTGTTATACCAAGTACTCTATATATAGTAATTAAAGACAAGGACCTTCCCAAGGAATTAATAGTTCAGTATGGGACCAAAAAAAAGTAACCAAAAATGTTCCCCACTATGATATATGTAGTAGCAGAAGGATGCACCAGTGTACCAGAGACACAGAAGGGATGAGAAAATTGGAAAATATAACCACTGTACCTTATTTGCATCTATTTCTAAAGGTACTAACAAAGGAAATTAACTATTCATACACAAATATGACATGGGAGTTTTTTTCTTCTAGTTGGTTTATTAAACATTTCACCAACATTACACACACACACACACACACACACAAAAAAAAAAAAAAACTCAAAGAGAAAGTTCCCATGTTCTATTCTACTTTCAAACTATGGTAAGAGTCAAATTACAGTGCAACTCAGATGCCCCCTTGGTCTATTCTAAGAGAACTAGGAGGCATTACAGAGTTCTGCAACTAGCTTTGTGAAATGAGAATTCAGTTTTTACATCAGTGAAATGAAAGGCATGAACAATAATCTTCAAGGTTTCTTCCAGCTGCATCATGGAGAATCTAAAAGCCAATTAAATGTTCACTGTAAGGAGCATGCTTCTAACAACCACACATGGATATTTAGTAAATATATAGGAAAAGTGTTATTCCTAAGGGAGGTGCTACTACAGCTATTAAACTATTGCTACTAAAATTATACTTTCTCAAGTCATGTTAAACAGTAATATATTTAGCAATATAATTATACATTAATATGTTTTATGGATAACATTATTACTTAATAATAATAGATGCTTAAAGTAACTGAATGCTCACATCCTAGCAGCCGTCTACACTTTGTCTAATTCAATCCTCACATTACTCAGATAGATACTATTACTTTGAGGAAACTGAGGCTTGGAGGGTTAGATAACCTGAGCATGATAAAACTGCGAATTCTAGTCCTGGACAATAGACTCTCATGTCTCAACTCATGTACAATCTTTTTTATTTTACGATATTCCAGATTTTAGAATATATCAACATATCTTCTTTTACTTTAATGGTGTCTTCTTGGCGAAAAATCAAATTAAACTTAGGCATGACGTCACCTCATGATCACCAGGTGGCAGCAGTACAATCAAGTAACAGTACACATAAGGAAAACCGCCACTGCAGAAATGAAAATAAATGGCCTAAGAAATGGACAAAGACATCCCTGTTTTAAAGAAAGGAGACAGGGAACCAACAACATCCTCTGAAGAAAATAAACTTGCTAATGTGTGATGTGTCTCCTTGTCAATACCTTCAACATCTACTTGAGACACCACCAAACATGACTGGTTCTCATCCTTAGGGTCAGGTAAACAGCAAGGACTCAGATTTTTTGCAGACCTTTATGATCTAAGTTTCCATAGCTGATTTCCTAACCAATCTAACCTCATTAAACTCTACACACTGATTTCTTCTTTGCCTATGCCATGTGATAGAGAATTATGTAAAACTATATATTCTGTGTTCATAATACTAAATACAAATTTAAGTAAAAACTGTTTCCTAATCTGCTACTCCTTGTTAGTAGCCTGAAATGCTGATGTAGTAAAATAGAAACTGTGTTGCACTACAACTGATACAACTATACTTATGCCTGCTGTTAGAACAGGATACAAACAAGCAGAATTTATTAATTTGAACTTGCCTTTGGAATGAAGGCTATTATAAATCAGTAAAATCTGGAATTGAATGTTTTTAAGGAAATACAGATTTTTTTTTTTTAAATCAAGTCTAGGCAGGAGGAAAAACACTTTAAATCTTAGAGAAATAAGATATAAATAGGATGTCTGATAATAAGCAGATCTTTGAAACTCATTAACATACTGGAATTTAGGAACCAGAAAGCACTTCAGGCCTCTAATTTAACCCCTTCATTTTACAAATCAGAAAAAAACATCCAGAGTATGCCTAAAATCAAATTACTTACAAAAATGGAACACAGGAAGAAAAAGCTATGGCTAGAATTATGAGTATACAAAGAGAAAGGACATAGCCTAGCTTAAAGGAGGCTCTATCCTTATCTGCCTTGGTGTCCCTTGAATTACAAAGACCTATGGCTATGTCAGATAGACTATGGCTAATAAACTATAGCTGCTCCAATGAACAATCATTAGTATCTACCATTTCCCAGAAAGGTTCCTACTTAAAATGAAGTGGGAAAAAAATGGTAGCTAAGATGTCAGAGAAATTTCTCACCAAAAAAAAAAAAAGAATTAAGTTTTAAAAATAGAAATACATAAAAATAAACTTCTACATGGAAAAAATAAGCAAAGTTAAAAGAGAAATGATAGGGCTGAGGATGTGGCTCAAGTGGTAGCACGCTCGCCTGGCATGCGTGCGACCCGGGTTCGATCCTCAGCACCACATACAAACAAAGATGTTGTGTCCGCTGAAAACTGAAAAATAGATATTAAAAAATTCTCTTTAAAAAAAAAAAAAAAAGAGAAATGATAACAGTATTTAAAATTTTTATCACAAAGGATTAATTACCCAATTATATAAATAGCTTATAAAAATGTATGGAAAAAATTTATACCACTAACATGAAATTATAACGTGGTTACCTATAAATTTACAGAAAAATGGGCAAGAGATATGAAGAAATAGTACATAAAAATGGCCTTAAATATATAAATATATAAGTGAAATATAAATTAAAACTTTACTAACTTATTTTTCTTCAGATTGAATTAACCGAAAATTACAAGTTTGACTATATACGTTAATAAGGAAAACAGGTACTTGCATATATTGTAGGGAGGAAAGCAAATTGCATAATTACTACAGGGCAGATTTTGGCAATATTAACTGATATATATTTACCCTATGATCCAACAATACTGCCTCTAGAAATATATCCCAAAGATACACTGGCAAAATCCAAATTAACATGCAGAGAAGGATATCCATGCACTACTATTTGTAATAGGAAATACACATGCTTATCAAGAGAGACCAAATGAATATCCATCCCATTAATAAAATATTATGAAAGTGAAAAAAGGGATAATACTTCTATGAAGTGAGCTACAATGCTATTAGGTAGGAAAAGCAAGACACAAAACAGTGTAAATAAATAAATAGTACCTTGTAACTAAGGAAGGATAAATTGTGTGCACACACATGTGTGTGTGTGCACACGCACATTTTGCTCTTATGTACATTTTTTTTTTAATGGAAGGATAGTAAAAATGAGACCTATAAAGAGAGAAAGTGGTTGAGGTAGAAAAACTAGGATGAAAACTGAACTTCTCTGCAATAAACTTTGTTTTAGGTACTTGTTTTATAGGAACTGCTATGCTGATATTTTACACATAATAAAACAAAAATTAAAAAGTAGTACTGAAAAACTAAATCAACTAGATAATCAAGTTGACAGTTAAACCACATAATGAATAACTTCATATGCCTTTAAAGTACAATAATTTTACTACATATATATCCCTAGTGGCATATACATTAAGGATAAAAAGGAACTGCAAAGAAATTCTAAGTACTATTAGGAATCATTATTAATAATAAAAATGGTATCATTCATTTTAAATCATTATATATAGGATAAGGAAAGAAAGTGATTATACTAATGGCATTAGGCATCAAGATTCTCAACAAAAGAGGAAAAAAAATTACAAAATGTTTTAAGAATCCACAAATTAAAGTTAAGTTGAAAATTATGTGAACTCCATATATTTCTCCTTTTTAAAAAAATATATTTCCTATTTCAGTGCTTTCAGGAAGCCAGAGATTTATGAGACAGAAACACATTTTACCAAAAAGCAAATCATAAAAACTACTGGTCATACCAAAAGGAATAGGAGCCAACTTAAAAGTGCTCCCATTAGTCAATAAGGAAACAATGTATTAAAAAAAAACAATATGCTGAAATAAAATATATTATTTTATTAGTCTATAAGTTCATGATAATAATTTAAGAAGGCATGGTTACCTTTGGAGGTTGCTAGGCCACCAACTCATTACTGTAGTCTGAAAATAGATGGAAAAAAATTAAGAATTTTTTCTGGCCTTTCCTAAACAAACTACATTTCAGGCAAATTGCTAATGAGGGCAAGTTCTTCATAAAAGATTCCCAGCTAATAGATTTTGAGGGAATGACAGAATTAGAAGATCACCACTTTGCCACTCCTAATACAATAATGGATTCAGGGAATCTAAATCAATGAAAGAATTTTCCCATTAAGTGACAGCCTCTTGGATAATTTCATGGTGGATAGATTTGGCTTGCAATACCAGAACCCACTACACAGCTCAAATCTTAACATCACAAGAGGAGAAAACTCAGACATTATTGTGCCTCCCTGATAATGCAAAAGACAGTAATTTTCATAATATGAAATGTTCCTACACTGCCCCCATCAAAAAAAAAAAAAAAAAAAAAATCAAAGTTGGATCTAATCAAGATTCTAATTACAGTGGTTCAACAGAACTTTCTGAAATCATAGAATTATTTTATATCTGCACAGTCCAAACAGTAAACCACTAGACAAACTAACAAATGTGAGTAATGTAATTAGAAAGCCAAACTTCTGTTTCATTTTATTAAACTTAAATAGTTACAACTAGCTGATGGCTACAACATTGAACAGTGCAATTCTAGATCTAACCACTGGCAGAGAGGACACAAAGGGAATAGTTACATATTAAAAAATATTATGTGGTACAATCAGTTAAATTTTAAATGGTAAGGGGGAAAAAGGGAGCTGAAGAAACTGCTGCAGATTGAAAGATTTAAAGGGTGTTTTTGTTTTGTTCTATAACCAGGGACTGAACCCGGGGTGCTTAACTACTGAGCCATATCCCCAGCCCTTTATTTTTTGAGACAGGGTCTCCCTTAGTTGCTTAGGGCCTCCCTAAATTGCTGAAGCTGGCTTTGACCTTGCAATCCCCCCCTGCCTCAGAGGCCTCCCAAACTGCTGGAATTACAGGCCTGTGCCACCATGCCCAGGTAAAGGTTGTATCAACCCTAACACAGCAGATGGATTTTGTTTAGAACAAGCTAATGTAAAAGCACTTTCAGGCCACTTGAGAAAATCTGTCCCGTGACTGGATATTGACAGAATGTTCACTAATTTGTATAATGATAGTACTATGGTGATTTTAAAAAATTGAAAAAAAAAAAAATTCAAACCTAGCTGGAAGCAGGAGAAACTTGGCTATGATAGAATGGACCACAGATGTTGTCCTCACCTGCCACAACATGCATAAGGACAGGAATGACAACTAAGCAAAGGTCTTTTCAATAGGAAGAAAATGACATCAGTACAATTTTTACAAGCAATTTTTAAAACTTGAATCTACATATCTTGTGAAGGACACTGTGACTGAATGTTTATAACTATCTAACCCACTTAAGTTTCACAGTCTCTTTTATCAAACTGATTACTGATAATGAGAGTCAAAAGGCAAGGAGTTCAGGATAAAAATCAGTCTAAAGATGGTACTTCATTCCAAATAAGGAAATATACGCTTTATTGTGTCATTAAGCTACAGCTTAAATATAAATGTAAATATCTGAAGGCAATGTGAAGTGATGATCCTTGGTCTCCTCTTCATATAAAAATAAAACAAAAGTATATAAGCAACTGTATACATACAGGGCATCTAACTATAAATATAGGGCATCGTATACTGCTCTATTAAAGACATAAAATGTGGTGCCTTATGGGAGTTCATAACCCATTTGAATCAAATGTATGAAATATGATATGTCAAGAGCTTTGTAATGTTTTGAACAACCAATTAAAAAAAAAAAAAAAATGTGGTGCCTTGCAGTGATTCCAGCGAATTCAGGAGGCTAAGGCAGGAGGATCCCAGGTTGGATGCCATCCGGGGCAACTTAGCAAGACCCTGTCTCAAAACAAAGCAAACAACCACCATCAAAAAAAAAAAAAAAAGTGGAGGGCTGGATATGTAGTTCTGTGGGAAAGCACTCCTGGTATCAACCCTGGCGGGGGGGTTGGTAGGTTGTCGGTAGAAGTAATCAGACAAGGCTCAGGAAAATCTGTAAATAAGTGTATTGTAATGCAAGCTGGGGCTGTGGCTCAGTGGTAAAGCGCCTGCTTCACACATGTGAAGAAGCACTGAGTTCAATCCTCAGAACCACATAAAAAAATAAAGGAAATGTGTTCATCTACAACCATATATATATATATATATATATATATATTTTAAATAAGTGTACTATAATGCAACTATAAAAGAAAGCTAGACTATCAGACTCATCTTTACTCCCCTGATGCTGTAAGGGATGTAAGAAAAACTAGATTCTGAGCCTATATTAACTGTCCTCAAGCATCTTCATGATTCACGGTTCATCAAGAAACTGCCCTTTAAACCTTCACTTATCATTTTTTCCCATCCCTCATTTTGTATGCAAGGAGGTATCAAAGCTCTTCAATTCTGCCATATTTCCGCATCTTCTGTACTAATTATTTACGCTTAAGCCACTCCATTCTTTTTTTAAAAAATTATTAACTTTAAAGCCCCATCAGAAAGGAGCCAATATCACTTGCGGTAAATGGAAAAAGTCCCCAGAGAGCCAGAGATCTAGCTAGACGCTGCCTGCAGCCTAGGCAATGGGGTTGCAGCAGGCCCCGACCCTTTAGGGGCTGGCTCTGATGGGGACGAGGGGGCCTAGAAGCAGCTCTCCCACCCCGCACCCTGTGCTGGCCCTCCCGCCGGCCCGGCACCTGGCGGGACCGAGCGGCGCACCGCGCGGGGCCAGGCCGGTCTAGATGGAGCCGCGGAGCAGAGGCGGCGGAGAGGCCAAGGGGCGGAGCGCCGGCGTGGATTCGGGCCAGCAGCAGCGAGCCTGGCGGCTTGCGGGCTGCTGCGGGATCCAGCCGCGAGCCATGCTGTAGGGAGGTCAGCGGCACCACGGCGCCCAGCGTGGCCGTCGCCTACGGACCAGGAGTCGCCCGCCCCTCGCTGGCCCTCGGTGCACACAAGCGGTTACAGGGCCTCAGGAAGCTCGCCCCCGAGCCTTCCCGCCGTTACCTCGGGCCGGAGACGCGCACGTGCGTCGCCGCCAACCTTACGTCCCGCCTCGGCGTCGGTACGTTCGTTCCGCCCACTGCCTCCTCACTTGTAATTGAAAAAATGTCTTCTTCCTGACTTCCCCTCCGCGCCAGCAAATAGGTTCACCCACATCCGGGGATCTAAGAGAAGAGCTCGTGGATCACGTGGTCAGAGGGCGTGGTCTGGAAGTAGAGGGTGCTGCCGCGGCCCGCCTACGGTAAGGGATTGTCGCGTCCCCAGCCTGTTACTTGGAGAAGCAGGAACGCCTTCGTTCCTTAGCTTCGGACTTTTCCTCAGTCCCAGTGGACGAGGCCGAGGCCCTCATTCACCCTTTGAGCCATTTTCCTTGCTGCACGCTGTGTCGGGTGGAAAGAGACTTCCAGTGGCGATGCTAGCCTCCCCCTTTTTGCTTCCACATTTGGTATATCCAGTCCCCGGACCGGAAGGGGTGGTGGCGGTGGTGGGCGGCTTTACGCGCTCATACAAACGGTGGTAACCTGCGAAGGTCAATTCTAGAAACGGAACGGCTTTGCATGTTTGGGTCGTAGAAATACATGTTTACAATCATGTAAAACACAGAGCAGGACAAAGTGAGCCCCTGTTCCTGGGAACGCTCCCATTGCATGTTTGGAAAGACGTCTGAACAGTGTGACTGTTCAATTGGTACCATGCATTGCGCCCAGGGATCTGTGGGACCAGTGGAGAACTAGGTTCTGGCACCCCGCTCACCCTGAGGTTTGGAGAACGCCCCCTGAAGAAGGCAACCTCGGAAATGATTTCTACACTGATGTTAGCCGGAAACACGGGGCGGGAGGTATTATGGCAGACGTTGAGACTCACATGTGTAATAAAAGTTTGTTCAGAAAACTGGGAATGGCAAGTGCTTGGGACAGCTGCCGTGAGCCGGGCATTGCCTGTTTATTGCTTCCTGCTTTTCCAGCCCGTTAAAGGCAAAAGCATTTTGGTGTCTGACCCTGGAAATGGGCCTAACCCCCAAAGAGCTTATGCCTGCGTTGAATTTGGAAGAGATGGAAGGGCGGAGCGCGGGGGTAGGGGTAAGTGCAGAAGCTGGAAATAGTGACAAGGTTGGAGGTGAAAAGGGATTGAGCCAAATTGTGGGAATATCTGTTAGGGAATCATCTGTTTGAAACAGACATAACAATCAAGAGGTGAAACTACTTGGCCACGGAGCTGACTTCTTTAATGGATCCCATTGGAACAAGACTTCTTTAATGGATCCCATTCAGGACAGAAACCCTGCTGAAGCTGGAGCGATTGGAGAACACATTTTAAATAAAGGTGATATTTAAATAAAGGTGATATTCCTGCTGGACCAGGAAGGATCAGCAGAGGAAAGTGTGAAGGGGATCCCGGGGTACAAAGCAGAAAGGACATAGGAGTAGATTAGGTAATGGAGAGCTTTCATAGAACAGAGACTCCAAAAGGATAACTAAGCTGACAGGTAGAGACTGTTTGTAAATTTCCTACACAAAGGATCCCTCAGCTACTATTGAAATAGTCACTGGGTAGTAGTGGGTTAACCCATTAAATGCCATAATCCCAGATATAGGATACGTATAAAAATTTAAATTGCACAAAAAAATACAACACTTTGGGTGACTTTTGAAATAATATGTCTTTAGAGTTCTGTTCTTTTGATAAAGTAATAGGTGAATGATTAGAGCATTAGAAAATAAATATGGAATATATAGGAGATTTGTATACATATAAATATACAAGCTCTAGATTATGATTTCCAACCCATTTTAATGCACCTGTGCCAGTTTTGTTGAAATACTTGTGGAATTGAAAACTTGGGACTCTGGGTTAATTCTGAGAAGTATTAAGATCTCATTTGGTTCACTGGTGGCAGAAGTAGTGGGTATCTTTTGCTTGAATTTTACCTGAATCCTTATCTTGAGAGTAAAAACCCTTCCCCACCCTAACTTGGGTATAGTTATTACCAGGCATTAGAACCATCTTACAATTGTACTATTGGAGAGAAGTACAGATATGTGTGACACAGTTGAATTCTACTCACAAAGAGTAGGGCTGGGGGTGGGGCTCAGTGATAGAGCACTTGCCTAACATGCACAAGGCACTAGGTTCAATCCTCAGCACCACATAAATGTAAAATAAAGATATTGTGTCCACCTAAAACTAAAATTAAAAAAATAAATATTTTTTTAAAAAGATTGTTTTTCACATGAGTTCATAGTCTCAGAAACTAAGAGTAACTGAGGGTGCTGTTGGTGCAAAGGGTTTCCAGGATCTCAAGATTGACACTTTGTAGCTGGGAGCACAGTAGGGTGATGGCTTTGATAGGGAGGCAGGGCCCAGACTTAGAAATAGGGAACCTAGAAATACTACCCAACCCCCCCCTCCCCCGGCCTATTAGGTCACAACTGTTCCAGAGAAAAAAAATGAAGAATCAGCCATGGTCAAGGAGCATCTTGACCCCTCCATCCAGGAATCAAAGGGAGTGCAGCATTAAGAGTCAGTTGGGCCAGGCACAGTTGCGGATGTGCACATCTATAATCCCAGCAACTCAGGAAAGCGGAAGCAGAGGATCACAAGTTTGAATCCAGCCTGAGAACTTAGTGAAGCCCTAAGCAACTTGGTGAGACCCCTGTATAAAAATTAAAAGGGCTGGGGTTATGGGCTGGAATTGTGGCTCAGTGGTAGAGCACTTACCTGCCATGTGTGAAGCCTGGGTTTGATCCTCAGCACCACATATAAATAAAAGAAACAAAAGATCCATTGACAACTAAAAAAAAAAGGAGCTAGGGTTATAACTCAGTGGTAAAGCACGACTGGGTTAAATCCCCAGTACCAAAAAAAAAAAAAAAAAGAATCAGATAAGGAATGCTAAAGGGAAGCAGAAACTGGAGCATCATGGGGTTTGACCACTGTTATTCACCAGGAACTCAGCCTAGGTGTACTTTTCTTTTCAAACTCACCTACCCTCATTGTTCTTATGAGGAATTTTGTCAGGCCTCTGGCTGGTCACTTTGCTGAGCCCAGCTCAGTGTTAACTCATGTTTATTTAGCCTCTGTGCTCAAGAATGCCAGGGTTTGAGCCAAGGCTGGTAGGGACTTGTGTAAAAACAGTACAGGAAGAGCTAGAGCTGCTGAGAGGAGTGGCAGGCAGGAATCAGGGACTCGTCAAAGGCATCACGAACAGGGAAAGATGAATGTGAAAGTTAAAGAAAAGCTATATTTGGGTGCATTGTATGTAAGGGCTTTCTCTAGAGATGTGTTGGCCTCCTGCCAGACTCTGGGACACTGGGCTATTAGGTGTCCGCCCTATATTCACCATAAAACAATTGTCAGCTAAGGTGGGGAAAGAACCGTGATCTTATAAATAAGTTGTCACCTGATCCATACAAAATGAGCCTTTCTTGGGGTGATGCCGTGCCCAGAAACGGGTCCGGGCTAAAAAGCCTGACGAATTCTAGTACTGAATTATACCAGCGCCTCAGTCTTCATGTTGAAGAAATAATCTCTTTGGTTTATAGATCTGACAAAATCAAAGCTACGGGAAAATGGACAGTGAGGTCCAGAGAGATGGAAGGATCTTGGATTTGATTGACGATGCTTGGCGAGAAGACAAGCTGCCTTATGAAGATGTTGCAATACCACTGGTAGGTTGTGATGTGCGCTGAGCATGATGGGTTAAAGTTAGCTGGCAAAACTTAACGACAGTGAGATATTAAAATTAACTAGTAGGACAGAGAAAATCAGCATTCTCTCAACTCTCAAAGCCTCTGGAGAGTATCTAGCCCAACTCATTGTAGTTATTATTGTTGTTTGGGAAAAAAATGGGGATTGAACCCAAAGGGATTTTACCACTGGGTCACATCCCCAGCCCCTTTTTTAAAAAATTTTATTTCAAAACAGGGTCTTGCAAAATTGCTTAGGGTCTCATTAAATTTCTAAGGCTAGCCTTGGACTTGCAATCCCTCCTGTCTCAGCCTCCTGAGTCGCTGGGATTGCAGGCATGCATCACCACACTGTAGCCCAACTCTTTATTTGAGGAGAAATGTGGTTCAGAGAGCTGACATGCCCTGCTCTGTTAGGGGTCATACCAAAACAGGAATCCAGATTTTTCTGGACCATCCTTTGTCCACCACACCAAAGCCAGATGTGAACTAATCTAAGAGTTTAGGGTCTGAGGCAGGAATAGGAGCCGCAGCACGGTGCCCCTTCCTTCCCTGCCTTGGGCTTGTCAGTCGGCTGACATTTTGAGAAACTCATGTTCTTGGAACACATACCTACCCTAGGTTCCCTGGAAAATATTCAGGTGATACCTGGCTTTTCTTCTTTTTCTTCATTTGCATTTAGGCCAATAAGTTCCTAGAATACTGTCCTTTCCTGATCTCTGGAAAATTCCCCTGAAAGGAACTTCTTACAACATCTTCATTTTGCAGGAAAGAGTAGAATCAGAGAAGGGAACTTGTCCAGAATCTGGCAGCTGATAAGTTGGACTTCATACCTTGGTCTGTAAAGCTCCAAATCCTGGCCTGTAAATTTTGTTCGTTCATTCATTCAACAAGCATTTCTTTGTGCCTACTCTGTGTCCTAAGACTCTGAATGTAGGATACAGTTCATACCCCTGGGAGGGCTAGAGAGGCAGCAGGTAAATAGTGTAATAAGTGTTCTAAGTAGGCACATGACTAGCCATGTAGCATAGAGAAGGCTGATTGCCTGGCAGGCAGCAGAAAGATGTCAAAGGGGCTGTCATGATTAAGCTGGATCATTAGGAAAGAACAGAATTTTACTGAGAGTGGGCAAAGGCCCTGCAGCAGAGGGGAGAGAAGTGTGCAGGCCCAGAGTCTTGAAAGACTCCGTGCTAGACGTGCAGGGTGCGTGGAGACTACACTTGTCATTTAAGTAGGCAGAAAAGCTGGACATCAATTTTGACAGATTATCTCTTGCCACACTTAAGTCTTCCACTGTGGAGACCTAGGAATGAATGGTCTTCATTCCATGCCATGCTCAGATTTGAGTTTCAGAAAATCAGTACAGCGCATTGTTAGAGATGGCCCCATACAAAGAAGAGGACAGGCAAGACCAATTAGGAAGCTACTGCAGTGATGTAAATAAGGGAGGCAGGCTGGAGCAGAGTGGAGAAAATGGCGGAGCCAGGTGCAACGGAGCACACCTGTAATCCTAGCTGTTTTGGGAGACTGAGGCAGAAAGATTGCCCATTGAAGCAATTTAGTGAGACCCTATCTCAGAATAAAATATTTTAAAAGGCTGGCCCCCGGATTTAGTCCCTGGTATACCATGAAAATATTGGAGACTTCTCAAATTTTGGAATTGTTAATGACAAGATTTGGGGACCATCTTATGTGAAAGGGATGAAGGAAAGGGAAATTTCCCTGCCATCTCGCAGGTGACAGCCTGCACTGTTGCTAATTGATATGTTTCCCCTTGTCCTGTGATTCTAAAGCAGTGTGTATAGTTGGCTTTTGCTACGTAACATATCACCCCAAAATTTAGTGACTTAAAACAACTATTTATCTCATGGCTTTAAAACTCATTTGGGCTGATATTCTGGCTGCACCAGCTCAGCTCATCAATGCTAGGCTTCCTTATGCTGCACGGTCAGCCAGTAGACTGACAGCCAGTAGACTGAATAATCTAGGACAGTCTTACACATCCAGCAGTTAGCAGGATGTCCCTGGATGATGGGCACCTGGGCCTTGGTCTCTCATGATTCAGCAGGCCAGCCCAGATACCTCAGACTCAGGTTCCAAGAGCAGCATCAGAGGGAACTGCAGAGCCTTATAGAGCTTAGGCCAAGAACTTACCCACAGGCTCCACAGCTGCATTCTGCTGGCCAAAGCAAGTCACATGGCCAGTCCAAGTCCCGGATTAGGGAAATAAACACCACCTTTTGATAGGAGTAGTTGCAAAATAGCTCCAGCCATTTTTCCAGTGTACCATCATGGATGGCTGTTTTTACGATACTTTCTGTTTTCTAGGCAATTGTGCAATTTTATGTGTTGGTGTTCATTACCAGAGACAATAGTCACCAAAGGAGACACAAGCGTATCAGATGGGATGAAATTAAGCAGAATTAACTGCCTCTGACTTAAGTACTTCAAGGACCAAGGACCTTTTTATTCTTTGTCAGCTATTAGTTAGTAGGGCCAAATATTCTTAATCTAGTCTCTTAATCTTACGTACTTTCCAATCTGTGCAAGTATGTTTGAATCTCAGTCTTATATTTGTAGAGCAAGATGGATGTGATTCCAAAACACTTGTATACATTATAAGTAAATATTTAATAAATATCAAATGTAATCTTAATGGGGGAAAAACATATGCATTACAAATTGGAATTCAGCAAGAAATTGTTAAGTGTGAATAGTACATGATAGTTTGCTGACCCTAAAACAGCGTAAATTCAGGTAATTACAAAGAAATATGTTTCCAGGTGCAGTGGTACATGGCCTGTAATCCCAAAAACTTGGGAAGCTGAGGCAAGAGGATCAACAGTTCAAAATAGCCTCAGAAACTTGGCGAAACTATGACTTAAAGAAATTAAAAGAACTGGGGATGTGGCTCAGTGGTTAAATGCCCACGGTACCAAAGAGGGGAAAAGAAAAAGAAATACATTGTTATCAGTGACCTCTATAAATTTAACTATAAAGTCTAAGGAAGTAATTCTAGATTTTTCTCTAAACCTACCCCACCATGGCTCACTGTTGTCTTTCTGTGTTTTATGTTGCCCAACTTCACCACTAGGGGGAGATCTCTGCGAGGCATTTTTTGTTATTTTTTCTTTTGTTTTTGCAATGAGAGAGATTGAACTCAGGGCACTCTACCAGTGAGCCACATCCCCAGCACTTTTAATTTTTTATTTGAAACAGGGTCTCCCTGAGTTGCTCAGGCTGGTTCTCAAACTTACTATCCTCCTGCCTCAGCCTCCTGAGTCACTGGGGACTGAACCAAGGCCTCCTGTTACATTTTCAGTGTCCCTCATCACTGCCTCTGCCATCATTTTAACATAAGATGTTCAGAACAGCATAGTTTGGGGATAATTTCCTATATTTACAGAATATGCCAGCAAATCCAGTATCAGTATTCTTTGTGTGTGTGTGTGTGTGGTGCTGGGGATTGAACTCAGGGCCTTACCAACTGAGCTATATCCCCAGCCCAATACAGTGTTCTTTTAAAACATACTCCTCCCAAAAAAGATTAGTGTTCCTCTTTCAGTGGTCCTTTCCACTCATAATACAAGCGAAGGCTCTGGAGCACCGGAGGCCCTGAACAGTGCTGAGCACTTGATCTAAATTATCTCATTTAACTTACCCAAGTCCTAGGACATTATGGTGACCTTTTCCTCCCATTTTCCAGAAAGGAAGCAAAGGCCCTGAAGGTTTGAATACCTTGCCCAGGTAACCCAGCAAATGGTAGCATCCTGGCTTAGGTCCTGGTTGACTTCTAGAAGCTTCTGCCCTCACCCCTTGCCACACTGCCTCCTGCACAAATGCCAGAGTCCCGGAGCCTGCTGTTCCCTCCATTGTTCCCATGGACTGGGCCACGTTTGAGCAGTGCTTCCGATGTTTTCCTCCAATCTATTTATTTTGGCTCTTTCCTTAGAATATACCTAGCAATTGTGCCACACATTCCTAGGAACTCATAGGTTTTAATTCTAAGTACTCTTGAGTTTTAAGATATTAATGCAGAGTATTGTTCTGAATGTCACTGTACCTTTTCAGAATGAACTTCCTGAACCTGAACAAGACAACGGTGGCACCACAGAATCCGTGAAAGAACAAGAAATGAAGTGGACAGACCTGGCCTTGCAGTACCTCCATGAGAATGTGCCCCCTGTTGGAAACTGACTCTTGGCTCCTGTCTCATGGATGGATTTTCAAAAATATAGAGAGATAAAATGTTTTCTTTTAGTCTCTTTATTCAGATCTTTGAGTAATAAATCAACAAAGTGTATACCCTCTTAATGTGAGGCAGCAAAGAGCAATGTGAAAATATTCAGAATGGGGGCTGTGGCTGTGGCTCAGAGGTAGCGCACTTGCCTGGCATGTGTGAGGCACTGGGTTCGATTCTCAGCACCACATATTAATAAATAAGTAAAATAAATATCTATCAACAATTAAAAAAAAAAAAAAGAAAAAGAAAATATTCAGAATGGGAAACAGATTTCTCAGGAATGCAGAATATTTGGCTCTTTAAACCTTAAATTCTTCATTCACTCACTTGTGTTTGAGCATGACTGGTTAAACATTTGCTTTTAACTCCAGTTTTGCTTTACTATCAAAGTTTAACACTTTGAAACTACTTACATATGTACTGTGACTTAAGTGGTTGAAAATATGAGAGGGAAAGGCAAAGAAACAGGAAGCCAGACATAGGATCCATGCCTTCTCGTAGTTCCCCACCTTGAGAAGCCTTCTGAGCTTTGGGCCTGTGGGCACATATGCTCCACAGAGGCCGTGCTATTTACTCATTACTGAGATTCCTGGGATTTTCCATGCCATTTTCAAACTATAAATAAATTTACAGATTAAAAAGTTATCTGATCATTACCTCTGCTCTCCTATAGCTGCCTTTGGTACAACTGGAAACCATCTGGCTAGATAGGCCACTAGTTTTATCCAATAGTGGCATTTCTTATTTTCTCAAAGCCCTTTCATATATAACCAAAACACCACAAAGTCAGTATTTAGCCATATATTTTTATAAAGAAGATATAATTTGCAAAACACATTGATATATGTTTGTCTCCTGGGATTAGCTCATCTTGTCCTTTTTGTTTACCCAATTTCATTTCATTTTTTTGTGTGTCCTTGTGTGTGTGTGTGTGTGTGTGTGTGTGTGTGTGTATGGTGCTAGGGATTGAACCCCGGGGCCTCATCATGCATGCTAGACAAGCCCTCTGTCACTGACCTACATCCTGAGCCCCGCTTTACCCAGCTTTTAAGAGGAAGAAGAACATCACAATGAGTTGCTTGTAGGATTTCAACCAGAAACATGGTCCTAGCAGCTCTCCACCAACCCACACAGCAGGTTGGTCTGCTCCATTCATAGCCCAACCTAGAAGCCACTTATCTTCAGAAGAAAGACCTCTCAAGACACCAGTTCCCTCAATAACTGAAAAAATGCAACCTCATAGGGAAGGGAAGTATAATAGGGAAGAGATTTTATACCAAGAGAAAACTAAGCTTTTCAAAAAATGAAAGTACACAGAAAGCCACAGTTCTTTCACATTCTCATTAAATGATACCTTTTCTCCAACTTCTCTGTGGTAATAGTTAACATACTAACATCTAGGAATTTGGCGAAGCCAAGCCTTTCCTTGGAACAGATAAACAAAGCTGTCTTGACCGAATCTGAAATGGATTATGAGGCCTGTAAGACAGCGCTTGTTTTTTCTGCTTAAGACCCTGATCTTAAAATTGCCACCCTACCCAGGAATGATTACATAATCCAAGGTGGTAACCTGCAATGTGGCATCAAAAGGGTGGCTCACTGTATCAGGAATTCAGTGACCCAAGCTTGGGCCACTCAGATTCTGTCAACTGGAGCTTTGGAGTCTGTCCATACAGGACTGGCTTGAGGATGATGGACTCACAAGAGGCCCAGCTTGTGGTATAGAGTGGCTTTCTTCAACTGTGCTTACCAAAACACCCAGAGGAAAATGGGTACAGAGGGAGGTCAAAGGGCTATGTAGGCACCTGGTTCCTGCCAGCTTCCCAGTTAACAGCTTGTTGTATGAATTCAGCTTGACATGACTGAGCCATCCTGAGCATAACCACTGTGATTGCCACTGAATAACCTTAGCTGGTCTTCCCCACACATTCCCCAGCAAACTGTAAATAGATTTAAAAAAAAAAAACAGAGTCCTGTGTGGAGCTTTACAACCAGCCCCTGGCTCCTGGCATGCACCTGACTGATATTATCCTAAGGTAAACCAGGTCTATTCCCTCCAGGACAAAGTCACTTCTGTCCTAACCTGTAAGCATGAGGCCTCTTTCTGATTGGAATTGTAGGAATCCAGCTGGTCTTGCTGTTGCTAGGACCACACTTCTGTCAATAAGTTCCCCAATAAACTACCCTCTGCAATTCTAGATCTAGATTTTCTTCAGTGGGGAGACATAAGTATTAAACCAATAGCCAGACGAATTTGTGATTTCAAATCGTGACATGCTAAGAAAGAGAAACAGAGGATGTGACTTTGTTTGGATTCCTAGAGGTAAAGCCTAAGGTGGGCTTTCTTGTGCAGGTGAAGTTGTGCTCTCTGGAGGACCATGTGAAGAATGCAGGATGGAGGTGGGAAAAATGCTGAGCAAAGAAGTGGTTTCAGCTCAAGGTTTTCCCCACATTGAGGAAACAAGCCAAGTGCACTCATCATATGAATGCTCAGCCATTCGCTCCACCCTTCCTGCCATCCCCAGGAAACAGCATAACTCTTTGTCCTCTCTAGAGGACATAGAGCAAGGTGTCTTCTGGCAGCCAACACAATAGCTGGGGAATGGGTACCAACAGTTCCCACTGCTGAGTGTATGGAGTGTATGACCAGGGGAACCTGATTTATATTTATATTGATTTATAATCAAGGGGAGACCTGATGATAGGTAGCTTTGCACATAAATTTAATATACTAATTTAGTTTCTGAATTTTTTCCACTCTCCAAAGAAGTGGTCAAGTCCTTTATGCTTCCTATGCAGAGCAGGAAGCAGAGATGTTCGAACACACCCCCACATCTTGTTTGGGAAGCAGGGGAGAGTAGGAGGGAAGGGGGTCTGAAGCCAGGAGTAGCACCAGGTGTGCCCCCTTGCTGGTTGGGGTAGATAGGAGTCAGAGGTGAGCTGTGGGAACATGAGGTTAAGGGGGTAACTCTGTAACCGGGCCCACTATACTGACCACCACATGCTTTAATTAAAAAAGCAATTTAGCAAGAGCCCTGCCTGGCTTAACTCTATAGAAAATATTACATTCCTCAGCAAGCAACCTGTTATCTACAGAAGAAATGCAGGCCTAAGATGCCTGTAAGAACAACACAAGTTACCCCGGGGGATGTAGGGAGATTTTTGTGATCCTTACACAGACCAGATTCCAGAACTCAGAGAGATAAGGATAATTCTCCGTAACCATAAAATCTGTAAGAACAAGTTCCAAATAGAACTGGTCAGTGTGGGTTAAAATGACCTACAGTTGTTCTGTACAGCGGTGGGGGCAGGGGGGGGGCTCAAAAGTTTGATGTCACTCAAAAGTCAAGAGGTGAACTTGGGAGGGACTCTCTGGAAACTTCTCTGGAGCCCCAATAAAACTGGAGGGCACAAGGAACATGCCATCCTTCTCTCTGAAAGACACACTCTTTCCCTTGACAATGTCTCCTAAATCCTCAGTGTAGCAAAGTAGCACCAAATAGATTTATTTGCTTTGAAGAAAATAGAAAAATTATTTTTATATATATATATAAATACTGGGGATTGAACTCAGGGCACTTGACCACTGAGCTACATCCCCAACCCTACTTTGTATTCTATTTAGAGACAGGGTCTCACTGAGTTGCTTAGCACCTCACCTTTACTGAGGCTGGCTTTGAATTCATGATTCTCCTGTCTCAGCCTCCAGAGCGGCTGGGATTATAGGCACACGCCACGAGCCCAGCTGAAAAATGTGATATTCTTTGCACCCTTCTAGTGTGCGTAACAGATGAGTAAGGGTAGACAGGAGAAGTGTCAGGAGGTGAGAATTGATTACACAGAAAGAAAAGTCCCATGAAGTCCAGAAGTGCGACTGGCATCACAAGAAAGGTGACTGAGGAGACAAGGATCTTGTTAAAACTTTTCCTTAGTCATCAAAAGAGTTTAACCCGTGATGGGTGAATGGCCCAATCACATTTTTTAAAAAGTATAAGTCACTCTAGCTGGACATGGTAACACATGCCTATGATCTCAGCTGTTCTGGAGGCCAAAACAGGATGATTTTAAGATTGAGGCCAGTCTTGGTAACTTTTTTAGACACTGTCTCAAAATAAAAATTTTTTAAAAGAGTTGGGGATGCAGCTCAGGGGCAGAGTGCTTGCCTAGCATGTGCAAGGACCTGGTTTAAGTTCCCAGTACACAGGAAATACACACACACACACACACACACGTATATACACATTTCTATATGTGTGTATCTCTCTGGAAGATGGATTTGGGCAGGAAACAAAGAGCTTTGCATTGGTTTAAGTGGGAGATGATGATAGCTTGGACCAGCTAGATGGAGGTGGGTATAGAAGGACTTGAGTTGTCCCTTAGTGGTAGACATGACCATTTTGCATTGCAAGATGTTTCATGAAGCCAGTACCCTGGGGCATGGCTGTATAGCTCTGAAGAGACTCATATGCTCCTCATGACCCAGGGCTGGATTTGCTGAGCTGAACATAGGACAACAGATACAACCCGTGTTCTCCAGACTGATTCTGAGTCCAGGAGCTGCCCATTTTTTGAAGCCCAACTTAGACCCACACATAGCACAGGTGCCATGATTAATCTGGCACCTCTAAGTGCTGAGGATCTCTAAGCCCTTGAATTCACTTGTGAGGTGGATATCATTGTCCTCCTGGATCAGGAGATGTGACTTAAATGGCTTGTTCAAGTTAAAGGACTTATTTATTTCAAGTCACTCAAACCACAAATGCATTCCAATGTAGGCTGTTGGATCTCAAAATCTGTGCTCTCTCCCAGTACCACGTCACCTCCTCTAGCAAGACTCTGTGGATACCTCTTTCTGAAATGGGAAGAAAATCCTATCAGAACACTCAGAATTTCCAAATATTTGTCTCTATAATGGAGACAGAGAACCCAAAGAATTTTTATTAGGAAATTGGGAGACATGAATCATTCAAAAGTTCAACCTATTACCAAAGTCATAGAACTCCGTCGACA